TCTCTCTCTCTCTCTCTCTCTCTCTCTCTCTCTCTCCAATTTCTTGAAGTACTGCAGAGACGGAGCTGCAGCGCTTAAACACCGTCAGCTCTTGCTTTAGTTGCCGGATATCTTTGCAACACAAATAAATGTGTATTCATTAGCAACGGCGGGCGTCTCGTAATGGAGAACCAACAGCGGCATCTCATCTGCTCTGCTCCCTTAAAGGGTGAGTCAAATCTGTCAAGACTTTCGCCTTATAACAACACATTTTGCTATAGCCTATTACTGTTTAATGTTTAAATCTTACTATCGTTTGATCAGCACTGTGTAGTTTGTCAGTGCATAAAGGAGACGGATGCACAGGAAATTAAAATTACACTGATTGACAGCTCAGTTAGTCCAGGCAACAAAAGTTGTTTATTCAGAGACGCAGGACCCCAAAAACAGAAGTAAAAGTGGTTTATTTGAATTGGTGTTTCATTTAGACATTTAGTTCTTATACATTCTGTTCAGTCGTTTATTGCATGATTAGTGTTGAGCGTTGCTCAGGAGTCAGTTCTGACATGAGCGAAAGCGACTGATCGGTGGCTGGAATAGAGCACAGCGCGCGGATCCCCCGCCGCGGGCAATGCGAGCACTGCGGAGACACACAGACACAGAAATACTGAGACCAAAATTACAAAAGTGTATGGCATTTTTAAATATTCCTTCTTGGATATGATACCCAAGAAGTAACGTAATTTGAATGATTTCTACAGCAAGTTTTTATACTAAGCGTTGACTGCATTCATCAAGCTTTACCTGCAATCCTGTTACACGGTTATTGTAGGCTAATAAAAATGTAATAAACACATTTGTACAAATATGTGTTTGTTTATTTTATACAAGTTTATCAATAACTACAAAATGCATTCGTTCATTCATTCATTTGGGATTTATATTATTAGTTTAGTATATTATTTTGACCGGACCCACTTTCTATGTCAAATACATTTGATAGCCTATATATTAGGCCTACTTTGTTTTTTTTTGTCTTAGATAATTACACACAGCCAAAAGCATTTACAGCCAAATTTTGAGTCTTTGTTTTGAGTCAAATAAGGTTTAATAGGCTATTTGAGCCATGTCACTTAATGGGTGATTTTTTTGCTTTATTGGACTGAGACTTGTTTTCCGAAGAAGTCTTGAAACTTTAAATCCCCTAAAATTCCTTTTGATTATGGATAAGCTGGCTATAAAATGCTCATGTTTAGCTATTTTATAAAAGAAAATGGATTAAAACAATTGTGGCCAATGTTTTCAATAAAAGCGGAGAGCAATCCAGCTTTTCATTTTAGTCATGCACTTTAAACTCATTCAGCTCTAAACAGTAGTTCCAAGGTTGTATCCTTGAGGACTGTAGAGCATTTCATCAGCGATGCTGCATTGACCAGGCTTTTATCTTTGCTTTAGCTGCATGAATCTGCCCCATTAGGCTGCATAAGCACTAAGGCAATTCAGAGATAAATCATTTATATTTGGTGCACATTGTGTAAATATGCAGTAATTTGTCCTTTAAGATTGGCATCCCACAATACTTTTTTTTTTTGTCTGTTGCGTTTAGTTTGCATGACTGGGAACACATGTCCGATGTTAATATTAGAATCTGCTCCTGTAGCAGTGCTCATGCTGGTGGGAAGGTTTGCTCTGCCCATTGAGAATTGAATTACCTGCAGAGTGATGCAGCCGCCCGTGTCGTGATTGAGAGCGACAAGCCTCATATAATCCGAGCCTACTTGTTTCTCTTTAGCATGCATGTTAGTGCATCATATTTTGATACCCTGATGTTTCACAGATTCAAGATGAACGCATGTATGTACAGAGCAATTACATTAGAATACTCTGTTAAACATGTTCAGAGGGATTCATTTACATTGTAATGTAGACTACTGCTTCTTCCAAATGTGTGTTTTCCTTGCTATAACTCAACAGTGTCAACATTTTCAGATACAATACTGTACTGTCATGCCATATATTTATAATACTTGCAAATATCATTCAGATAGAATTAGAAATGAATTAAGACTAGAGGAAGGTTTCAAAATGATTTTCGTCTCCATCTGTTCAATCTTGTGCTTATGCTTTCAGCTTATGCTGAAAAAAAAATAAGTTTTCTTAATATTCCTCCAAATGTTGTCCTAAATAGATGAACACAGTTGTCTTAACAAAGAATTTCATATTGCTAAAAGGTTATGTGAGTTTTAGGGTTTGTGAGTTCCCGGCATTGCAGCATGAATAATGCAGTTACTGTTATAGACTTATTATTTTGCTGTTTGCTGACTTCATTTAAACATTTGTTACTATTGTTAGTTATTTGTTGTGATTTTAGAAGCTTTTTTTTTTTACATTTGTTGATTATCAATGTTCTTGTGTGTTGAGTGCTGAGGCCTAAAATATGTTCAACTATTAAAAAACGATCCTGGTGTAGTGAATTTTGCTTTCACCAACCTAGGGAGGCGAAATAGTGTAGTAATGGGTACTCGCGTCACCAATGACGTTATGATATTTGGATCACGTGTCACTTAAGGTGAGGTTATGAGTACATCACATAAGAAAGATTGGTGGGATCTCTAACTTGTAGAACCTCTTTCTGTATCATCAACACAAGGAAGACACAAGTGTAATAAAATAGATTTTATTAACAAAATATAGACAAGAGTAACAGTCACAGGCCAAAACCTGAGGAATCAGTCTGTTGGTGGGTGAAGGGCAGAAACAACATTTTGTCCAATAGGAAGTCCTGTCCTTCCCGGGCTTTGTACCAAAGGTCTTCTTCTTGCCCTCTAAGAGGTGTCTGGCTGTTGTCCTGGCATCTTTATCTGATGGCGTTGGACAGTTTGCTTATGTAAGTCCACCAAGATCCAATCAAAATGTAGCAAACCTTTGTCCATTACACTGGATATCTTTGTTTTGTAGGATGATTGAAACAAAGACAGCTCACTTAACATGTTTTAAATTTCCAAATAAAAATATATACATAGCTGTCAAAACAATAAAATAAATTACTGTAAATGAAAATTTGCTGAACAAGAAATCTGTTGTTGTCATGATGAATGTATGGCTGAATGAAGCATTTTGCACAAACGGAACAAATGAATTCAAAACGACAAAACAAAGTAGTGTTAGTAAAATTAGTTTAGAGAACTTAAAAATCTGAACACATGCTTTGGATTTGCCTTAGATTTTTTTTTCAACAGTTTATTATTTTGCAGTATAAAATTACATTTAAAAAATATAATATGATGATTTCCTTCTCTCGGGAAAATATTAATTCTTTTTTTTATTTTAAAGAGACATTAATATTTCTGTTTTTCTTAAGTTTACTATATATTTTATTCTACATGAAGCCTGTGATCTGAGAAAGTTGATGAGTAATGAAAATTATGACAATCGAAGGAAATAGTGCATGTGTGTTAAAGGAACACGCCACTATTTTTGAAAATAGGCTCATTTTCCAACTCCCCTATAGAATTAAAGGTGCAGTAGGAGATCTTGGAAAATGCTAACTTTAGCCTGATAGCACTGAAAGCGAACGTCCCACCCTCCCTGCAATCGCCGTCCAAAGCCACGCCCCCTGAACGCATATACGCTCACAGACCAGAATATCAGAGACAACATTACAATAGGCTACATCAGCGGTTCCCAATTCCAGCCCATGTACTGAAGTGAAGTAAACTTCAACGGATTTCCCCTGCTCAGGGAGTAGGGAGCAATGAACACTGTGTAGGGATCATATCGATCGGAACACAGTTCATGCACGTAGCTCACTTCTAATGAGCTGGTTATCTGAATCGGGTGTGTTAACTAAGCGAGACATTCAAAATATGCAGAGTGCGGGGGCGTGTGGACTGGAATTGGGAACCGCTGGGCTACATCATGTGTCATTCACCGGTGAGAAAACTTTAAAAGTACTAAAATACCAGGAAGGAATATCGGGTTGTTGATTTTTTTCTGCTATTCTCGCTCTGTCTGCACAGCGTGCGTGAACGCGCTGATGACGTATCCTGTCTGCGCGAACCGGGTGCGCAGAGGTATGCTAATACATACCTTGATAGGCAGGTAGGAAAGCCAATTAAAACGCTCGGACCGAGCGTTTTGATTGGACGAATATTTCTTGGTCCTACACCTTCCACAGAATATAAAAATAAAGATAAATACATTTAGACCACTTAACTTAATGATTGCTATCGGGATGTGAAGAGACTTTCAACCAGCATAAGAAAAAATGTTTCTGAAGACAATCACCTATTGCACCTTTAAACAGTTGAGTTTTACCGTTTTCGAATCCATTCTGCCGATCTCTGGGTCTGGCGGTAGCACTTTTAGCTGCAGTTTAGCATAGATCATTGAATCTGATTAGACCGTTAGCATCTCGCTCAAAAATGACCAAAGAGCTTCGATATTACCTAGCTGGGGACTATTTTCAGGTGCTGCGTAATATCATTGTGCCTGCTGCACCCATGGTACGGCAGCAAAGTTCCTCGATTATTACGCCGGAATGAGAGTATAGTAAAATGAGCCTATTTTCAAAAATAGTGGCGTGTTCCTTTAAGAACATTATAGTACCTGTCTGTCATCTGTGATTAATTTCAATATGGAAATGTTTCCTTTTTCAAAGCTAATAGCAGATACATGTGTGGGACATATTTTGTTAATCATATTAAAGGCCACAATCATCACAAACTCTTTAGGGAATTATGACATAATTAACATACTGTAGAGCATGAAAAATACCACAGCATGCCATACAATGTTTAACTTAAACTTTATTATCCCTAGAAAAAGTGTTTATACTAGGCTAAATGTTTAATCATTATACTAAATGTTTGTCATTTAGGGCTAGTTGAATATTTAAAAAATGTTAACAACATAAAAATATGAAACAGAAGAACGAGTATCTGTGCCTCTTCCCTTGTAATATATTTGAGTCTTATATACAACTGAAACTTTTAGACTTTTTAACTAACTTTTTTTTTCTATGAATAAAAGAACATCATCAGAAAATGGCAGAAACATTTTCACCAGACAGCTAATTCAACCTTCCCCAAAACTTGTCTTCTTTCCTCTTTCTCCATAATATCATCAATTCCTGAAGCAATCTCTTAGCACAAGATGCCCTAGTGTCCTTCTTATAGACAAGGTCATTTGTTTTTTGTTTTAATGTGATTATGTCCTCTCCAAACCATTAGGAGACTTGAACCTGGCTTATTCACACTGCCTGACAACAAAGAAAAGAAAAGGACATTCACTCTTTCAGCTGTCATGTCTGTCTAAGTCAGTCCTTAAAGAAAAAATACTAATAACTGTTTAAATTTAAAATGGTTAGCACTTCTTGTTTTTTCTTCCTTATATTAATCACTTCTGTGAGTAATACACTCATACCTAAGATTAAAAAAATGCTAAATCTATAGTAGCAACACATTTATGTAAAGAACTAAAACGTATTTATATCACACCCCCAAAATGAAAGAAATATCACTGGACTGTGTAAAGTATTAAAATTGACTTTGTTCTTATGGGCTGAAATGCCACATTGAATTTTTTTCACTTTTGCCCCCTCTCCTTATATTAACATATCGACAGGCAATTTTACAGCTTGCCTCTTAAAACCATTGTTATTCATGCCAGCTTGTCAAATATGCTATAATGTTCTTGCATATAGAACCTGACCCCAATGCACCAGAGAAGGCGTAGAGAACAGAAACATCATACATCATTTCGACAGAGGCTATCATGAGTGCAAGGCCTATTTTCAATCCACTTGCGACTGATTGTACCTAAACTGTGCACTCAGGTTAAGCTGTTCCTAGTCAGATCAGTAAAACACTCAGAATGCTGCTTTTCAGTTAGGAAATTATCTCAGACTGTTATCAGGAAAATTATTTAGTTTTAGTTGTATTTGAAATGGAATAGTGTTATCCAGAGCTGTTATAGCTGATGATCTGCACGGCTTTCTACCGTCCATCATTTGTGAGCAGCAGTCCTGTCAGATCCCGCAGCATTACGCAGGTAGATTGGGGGAAGTGCTGTGTCTTCACCGAGGGGCCAATCATGCAGTTCACTGGGGCTGCCAGACTTCTCAAATAGACATATGGTCCACATCCATTCAATGGATTACTCCGCAGCCTGAGCACTCAGCTTCCCAAAGGCATGTAAACACAATGAAAGTGAAACAAGCTCTCTCTTTTGATCCATTAGCTGTTGTAAAGTCTCAGACTCATTCACATGGTGTACATGGCTCACAGTATAGGGATTATGATTACATGGTGTTTCATAAGTCATACGAAATATGATGTAAAATCAGTATTTAATTAATTTAGACAATTTTGTTCACTTTCTGTTTACGATCATTAAACTATATTGCAGTCTATAACATTTGCTTCAAAAAATTCTAATACCACAATGAAAATCGGGATTTAAAAAAAAATGTAAATCTGGAAATGAAAAAAGTTTTAGCTCTTCACTCTTTCTAATCATTAATCAAGTGCAATCAAATATAAAACGTCAGATTTGCTTTCAGTGAAGCCCAGTATGCTTTTTGGAAAATTATCATCAGGTTTTGTTTGAGTGCTGCTGTCATTAAATCAACAGGTGACACTCCACATACTTTAGATAGATTATGGGCTATAAGCTATATAATTGTGACTTTTCACCATATGGGAATGTTTCTTAAATTTGTTACAGCTATAAATAAAATAAACCAGACCATATCGTCCCCTTGGAATTATACAGAGTTCTGGCATGAAACTCTAGATGGCGCAGTCCGATAGGTCTAACTCAGTCTGACCTAATGACATCATTATCACATGGCACAGCCAATTGGTTCTCTCCTGTATCGGTAGCCAATGAGCTCACTGCTCAACATTCAAATATATGACAAGGGATTGCCGTAGCAGTTGCCAGAAGCGAAACAAGTAATAGGAAAGAGGAGAAATAAAAAGCGATACTAATCCTTTGCCGGTGTCCCTGCCTGGTTAAGTCGCACGGTAGAGTCGATGGTCTTTACACTCTTCGGTCTTCACATGAGGAGGCCTCCACGCGACGGCTGCCGCGGTGAACTAAGCTTTTTTTATACCCTTCTAACAAAATACTACATTAATTCAGCTGGACACACTTTCCTTATTTTCTCCACAACAAATGGGAACACACTTTCTTTATTTTCTCCACAACAAATGGCCAAGCAAGCACAGACACTGACAAGTTACGCGATACAGAACGAGACCAAACGCGATATCAGCACGTCTCCACAGTGTCTTTGCAACTTTACAGATGTTCTTTATGCACCAAGAGCTTGTAACACTTCAAAGAGAAAGGAAAAATTGAAATCGCATTATATGACCCCTCTAAAGGCTTTCAAGAGACATATAAACAGTATATAGCCTTTCATTTGTATATAAATATTACATAATATACACTACCCTTCAGAAGTTTGGGGTCAGTAAGTTTTTTTTAATGTTTTTGAAAGAAGTCTCTTATGCTTGCCAAGGCTGCATTTATTTAATAAAGTAAACTTTTTAATCAATTTAACAATTTAAAATAACTGTTTTCTATTTAAAAAATTGTTTTTACATGGAAGCCATTACTCCAGTCTTCAGTCTCTCATGGTACTTTTAAATCAGGGAACATTTATATATAATGAATATATATATATATATATATAATATTTTTATAGATATAAATAGATTTTGGGAAGTATGACTAAGTGCATAGTTTATGAACTATATGGCCCAAAGCTTTAGCCCTCACAATATAACTTTAAACCTGTGTTTCTCCCAGACTCATGAGAGCCATAAAGGCAAAAGCACTTCTTCTGTGGTGACTGCAGACCTCTTCCCCTCCACCATCTAATCATGGATGATATAGCTCCACAAGACACGTCTTCCCTCATGAAGGGGGCCAGAGTCATTGCTAAGGAGGCCAAACGACAAGCTGTTAAGAAGGTCAACAAAGTTGTGGACCGTGCCTCAGATGAGTACTCCCATAGTCGCACCTACCAGCGCTTCCAGGATGAAGACGATGACTACTACAGCCAGCCGGATGGGAACTACACAGGAGACCACGCCAATGATGAAGAGGGATCCAGTGACGCCACTGAGGGTCACGATGACGAGGATGAGATATATGAAGGGGAGTACCAGGGGATCCCCTCGGATGCAAAGGCCAGAGATGGACAGGTGGCTCTGGGACAGCCGCTGGCAGATGGCCTGAAGGACCAGAGAGAGCTGGAGAACGAGAGGCAGGCAGATGAGGAGGAGCTGGCGCAGCAGTACGAGCTCATCATTCAGGAGTGTGGACATGGCAGGTTTCAGTGGCAGCTGTTCTTCACTCTGGGCTTTGCGCTCATGTCTGATGGTGTGGAGGTCTTCGTGGTGGGCTTTGTTCTGCCTAGTGCAGAGACGGATATGTGTGTGCCTGACTCAAGCTCTGGATGGCTAGGTAAGAATAACAGGAATGTAACTATTGTACATAAACACTATATATTTATGCATATAGCACATTGTATGCAAAGTTAGCATTTTAACAGTCATGCATTCCCTGGGAATTCAATCCATGAGCTTGGTGTTGCTAGTGCCAGGCTTAGTTCACCCAAAAAGGAACATTATATCATTAATTACTCACCCTCATGTCATTCCAAACCCGTAACCATTTTGTGATACCATTTTCCATTTTGGAGAGTATCACGATGCATGCAGTACACGTTCTTTTCCAGCACATAAACAAAGCATGCATGTGGTGCTGTTGATGTAGAACATGCATGCGCTGTGCCTTGTTTACATTCCGAGGAGAGCACGTGCATGTGTTGTGATACTCTCCAAAATGGTGCCCAAGGGTGACGCGGAGAAGAATTGTTGAATAAAGTCGTTAATTGAAATTTTCTATGTGCACAAAAAGTATTCTCGTAGTTTCATAAAATTACAGTTGAACCACTGATGTCACATGGACTATTTTAACAATGTCCTTACTACCTTTCTGTGCCTTGACCGTGGTAGGACCCTTGCTTTCGGATTTCATCAAAAATATCTTAATTTGTGTTCCGAAGATGAACGAAGGTCTTGAACGATGAACGAAAAGCAGCAAATTAATATATTAGAATGATTTCTGAAGGATTATGTGACATTAAAGTCTGGAGTAATGACTGCTGAAAATTTTGCTGTGCCATCACAGAAATAAATTACATTAAAAATATTTATATTTAAAAAGAAAACAGCAATTTTAAATTGTAATATTATTTCACAAAATAATTTGTTTTACTTTTTAATGAAATGGTCAAGTTGAGCAAAATAGTAATATTTTCCAAAAACATTAACCAAACACGGTAGTATTTTTTCTTTTTAAATATATGACCTGTTATTTTTATTTATTATTATTATTGGCTGTTGTATTCCGTAGTTGATTATTATTTAGTGTGACCAGACAGTTTACTATACTGTACAAAAAGGAAGCAACAATATCAAAATATTTTGATATTACTTGATCATCAAGATCAAGTGTGTGATACTTAGTTCTCATTGACCTGGTTTAGGGTCATTGATATTCATATAAATTGACATTCTTATGTGTTTTATAAGTTTAATCAAGTCTGAGTATCTCTCTTTCTCTTTATCCTTTATCCTGCTTTTTCTTCACTTATGCACTCATCTGGAGAGCCCTGAGGGAATTGTGTGGCATGCTCTGCTTCTCTCTCTTTCATGCTCCCTCTCTCTCTTTGTCCTTACTCTGTCAATGGCTTTTAAGACATAATCGCACGTGGCCGGCTGTGACTGCCGGTACAGCTACTGGCTTTTGAGATCAGATACGGTCATCAGCAGAAGAATTTGCTGCTCCTCCGCCAGAAAGATTGAAACACTGTATAGGGATCAAAAGAAATAGCTTTGAAATGCTTTTATGTCTTTTAAAATCTTTTAAAACTCACAAAACGGCTGCATTTATTTAATACAAAGTACAGTAAAAACAGAAATATTGTGAAATTGTGTATATATATATATATATATATATATTTTTTATAAATAACTGCTTAAATATATTTTACAAATGTTTTTTACTTGATACAATGATAATTTTTTTCAGAATTCTTTGATGAATAGAAAGTTTGAAAGGATTTATTTTTTAATGGATTTTTTTTGTAACAGTATAAAAGTCTTTACTGTCATTTTAATCACTTCAATCCTTGCTTTTAAAAAACTACTAATTCCAAACTTCTTTCAGAGAACAATGCATTGTTTCAAGCAGAAATTCAGGCAGAAATTTAGAGCCTGCTGACTAATTCAGTCGTGTTAAACAGTGAATATCTCTCGGTGAGTAAGGTAATGGCTGCTCTCCAGCAGACACAGTGGTGCAGTGGTGATTTAGTGCAGAGATGCTGCAGAATATGAACTTTCTGCAGGTCCTAGTTAGCATTCAAGTGTTGTCTCTTTTTCTGTTTGCTGTCATAGTGTAACTAGTGAAATGGCACAGTATCACATTCCACATCTGATGTTTAAACCTGATCATAATTCACACATTCATTTTCTGTAGTTATTTACTCATCCTCAAGTCATTCAAAACCCATATACTGTACTGTATGCTTTTCTTTCATGAAATCTAATAGTAAGAAGTTTAGCAGAATGTCCAGGCTTCTCTTTTCCATGCAATAAACAGTATACAGTGATTTATACTTTCAAGCTAAAGAGAAAAAAGTCGCCATCAGAAATCCATACACTATGTTATGAGTTTTAAAGAATATTGAGTTATTGAGAATATTGAGTTGAATTTTAAAGAACTGTAATTGACAAATTTGTTCAAACTGTTCAGTTGTGGTTTTATAAATGTTTAAACAGATGCTAATTATAATGTGCCTTTTTGATTTGAGCTTTTTACTGAGACCAAATTATTATGCTATAGTGAATTTAAGAAACAACATTTTGAGAGTTTGGATGATATGTTCTATACGAACAGAACCGCAGTGGACTGAACAAGTTGTGTCACGTTACTGATATACGTGTGCTTTGATATTAACTATCCTTCTCCCAGGCATTATTCAAGGCTATCATGAGTTAGAGAAGGAAATTGACTTTTGTTATGTTCATGCATGCAGACATTATTTGATCCGTTTCTGCCTGTACAGGACAATTAATTCAATGTAGTTTCACAGTCTATTGGCTTTATTACCCAACTACAATCAGCCTATTCATCCTGATTAAAATCTGTGAATTATACCCAAGGGGCATTTAGTATTCTATAGAAAGAAGGCAATGGAAAATTGCTGCATAACACAATTACAGTAATGGATGGTGTTGTGAACACGTTGTGTGATGTATCTTCCATTACTTTTGGCTTAGATCCAGGAGCCCATCTTTGTCTATTAATCTGTGGCTGATTTATCTACTACATCTTATCATAACCCTTTTTCTAGCTCTCTTTCTCTGTCCACCCTCTCTCATTATTCTCTTTATCTGTCTCTTTTTGTGCATTGTTGAGTCTAGGAGATGCTGAGCTTGGCTAAACTGCAGTGAAATCACCCACTGCAGAGATTACAAGACCTGCACAGCCTCTCAATGTGTGCCAGAGAGAAAAAGATATATACAGTGGGTACGGAAAGTATTCAGACCCCCTTAAATTTTTCACTCTTTGTTATATTGCAGCCATTTGCTAAAATCATTTAAGTTAATTTTTTTTCCTCATTAATGTACACACAGCACCCCATTTTGACAGAAAAACACAGAATTGTTGACATTTTTGCAGATTTATTAAAAAAGAAAAACTGAAATATCACATGGTCCTAAGTATTCAGACCCTTTGCTCAGTATTTAGATCAAAAGGGTGCTTCTACTAAATACTGAGCAAAGGGTCTGAATACTTAGGACCATGTGATATTTCAGTTTTTCTTTTTTAATAAATCTGCAAAAATGTCAACAATTCTGTGTTTTTCTGTCAATATGGGGTGCTGTGTGTACATTAATGAGGAAAAAAAAATTAACTTAAATGATTTTAGCAAATGGCTGCAATATAACAAAGAGTGAAAAATTTAAGGGGGTCTGAATACTTTCCGTACCCACTGTATATATATATATATATTACACACACACACACACTTGATTTTACAGAGAACATTTGCTTAAAATAATACTGCCTTTCTGACTCTATTTTCCCAAACCTTTTATTTTCTTTCCTTTCTCTGTTTAATGCTCTCTTTTAAATTCTATGGCCCAGATATTCAGCAACAGAATATAAATCATGCTGCTATAATCATTTCAGCTTTGTCGCTCCATACACCCAGATGGTTTTTAACGCACAGACCCTAAAGACAAGCTGACAATGGAAAAATAACATCAGTCCAGGTAGTAAAAAGATAGTTTATTGTTTCATTTGTGAGTTATTCGTCTTATGGGGGTGATTCATTTTTAAAAGCCCTGAATAAATGAGCACTTGTGCTTTCCTCTGGGTCTACTTTCCATAAGAATTAAAATTCTGCTGGTGACTGGTTATCACTGTTTTCACGTTACGATATAGTTTATTGGTCTAACATTATTAATAACTCTTAATAGTTAGAATTATTTATTAATGAAAATGTATCATGGTAATCACCAGCTTCTGACAAAATGCCATGATATGATATATGATATGATACTATAGTTATTGTAACCTATGGACATGGTGTTTGAAAGATATGAAACTGGAGGAAAATGTTTTAATATTTTTTGGTTCTCTTGCAAAGTGCCTTGCGTTCTTATGATAACTTTGTGTTTGCTTGCAGTAGCATTGAAATAAAAATTTTCCTTCCTCATATTATTTCCATCACCAGTTTTGTGAGCGAATGCAAAGTTTCTCAGGGGAATGTATACATTTTGCTTTTGGCTCCATCACTGTCATTACAAAGGAATGAAAATAAGACTCAGGAATCTTTTTACACTGTTTTAAACAAATCCTGTATTAATATTTTATGCGCTGTAAAACATTCGGCCTATTTTAACTTAAAAACCTAAGTTCAATTGCTGCCTTAAATATTTACATTTATTTAATTTGGGTTTACAAGTAATTTCAATTTAAATTATATTAAACTAACTTAAAAAAATAGGTTGAATCTCATAAAACCTAAAAAATGACGTTGCAGTTGGTTAAAATATTTTGATGAATTAAAGTATTATAAAAACATGTTACCATAACTTATTGATCACATAATACGTTTTTACAGTGTGACTTTAGAGAGGTAACAACAACTGGACAACTAAATGGTATTTTAAATGATGTATTCATTGTTTTTGTATCAATGTGCTTTCAGTTTCCATACAGACTGTGCATTAGTGGAAGGAATTTGACAGTGTAGGTTTCTTTGTTACACCAGTAGGTGGCGACAATATCTTTATTACTCATTGAATCATTCATTCAACCGATTCGTTCAAAATAGGAACGAAACAACTCAAGTGTTTGTTCTGAGACTCCCTAGCTACCACACGACATGCCAATTACGTGTGTTTCAACTTTGACTCCGTTTGGAAATAATTTGAAATATTGTTTCTAAAAAGTAAGTTACTCAATACTGAACTGCTGTAGCTATAAAAGCGATGTTGCAATCGGGCCACCGTCAAAGGTAATCACAACAGCACTCTTGCTTTGTGATGTTTCTTATATAATAATAACTGTAAAAATCATGCATATTGTATGTTTTTAGGTGTGCAAGGCAACAGAATAATCTCTTTGTTATTGTGCATTGCGTTTCCCTGCAACAGTCGTCTTTTTTGGCATAGAAGTAGCTGTTTATGATTCTAAGCTTTGTTGAGTTGACAATCAACCCCACTGAACCCTGCTGAGAAAACATAATCAGCCATAAGCACTTAAGTCCCCTACAGGCCTCCATACACCAGCACTCCCTGCTGTGTCAACAGCCCCAGTCATCACTAAACTGCTTTCATACAGCTCCACTAACCAGCAGACTCACTCTCTATCACCAGTGTCTAACCGCACTACAGCTTCACTAAGCCAAAACAGACAAACAGCTTTGATAGCTGATTAAATGCAGAATTTTACTATTACTTGTTGCTGATTTCACTGAACATGCTTAAATGGATAGTTTACTCAAAAATCATTTACTCACTCTCATGTTGTTCCAAAACTGTATGACTTTCTTTTTTTGTGTAACATTTTGAATAATGTATGTGAGAGACATAGACAATCTTTATTGTCATTATCCAGTACAGAAAAGCTATGCTTGCTACTCCATCAGTGCTATAATAATGCAAACCTAAAAATATTTAAATAATTAGTTAATAAATCTGAGATGTTTACAAACAACATTAAAATGGTAATCACAATAGTAATACTGGTTGCTCTTTTCCAGTTACAGTGGATTGGAATTTGGGATGGGAGCTTTTAAGTAACTAAATATTAATAGTTTTTGGCGCTTTTTTTTAAACTAATCTTAAAAATGGAAAAATATAAAGAAATGTTTAGGTATGACCTTTATAACTGAGCAGCTTGCTGAAAAGTGAAATGCCTGACATGATCTCAGGAGTCTTCATTACAAGTAATGGACATCTGGAGACAAATGTGTCTTTTATGCCTCTATGAGTCTGCGGTATTATTAGAAAGTGAGACATGCATTTATCATACGCACGTTTTGCTTCATTAAATAAACGCAATTGTATAATCACAAGTCTTAAAGTAGTTCACCTCCAAAGTGAATCTATTTAGCAGGCTTGTTACTGTACCAGCAAAGCAGTTTACTGCTTACTATTAATTGTTGTGCTGGTTCTACAGCAGCAAAATTGTAAGTGCTTGGTCACAAAGAAAGCTGCTGTATCAGTTGAGAATTTACACCTTGAGAAATCAGCAAATCTCCAAAAGGTTTTGTGCATTGCAACACATGCTCTGTGTAAATAGTGTCACTGCATTTCTTTTAAATACAACTATCAATCCACCAATTTCTACCCATCTCTCTCTGATATGCTCCCTATATCTGACAAAACAGCTAAAATTCAGTCTTATGTAATATTTTAGCTCTTCCCTCTTTCCATGACTTATGCATTTAAATACATAATTATTTTATTTACTATTTTTTTTCTACAATATTTACAGTCTTACTTCCTGTCTTAGACGCGCACTAGCAGCAGTTTAGCCAGTCACGACACACTGGGCTAGCAAACCTATTTCTGAGGGCAGGGCTTCATAAAAGCAGGAAATTACCATCTAATTCTGCTAGATATGTAAGGCATCTTAGTACAATACACAATAGCTGTAGTTCTTTTCCAGTTAAATCCTGTGATGAGGTCTTCTATATAGAATTCTGAGATCACTCAAATCTGATACATTTTTAATGGTTATTTGTTTTTCCTTTGGGCTACTTATGTAATCAACATTTTTACTGCACGCAAACTCACTTGCTTATAGCATCATCACGGAAAGTCTCCTTCATTTCACCCAGAAAACAACAAAGAAAGTCCTCAGGTGAAAACATCAGTCAACTGAAAGTTTAATGGTGTTCTTGTTCTGAGAAGCAGCCGCCATATAAACCAGTATATATAAATCAGCCGCCAAACAAGAATGAAGACAAAAACAAACTCTCCTGAATATGACTGCATCAGTCTGTGTCTTTCTCTGCCTGAGGTGTGTGTTCACACTGTTTCACTTTGTTTTTTACCCCTCTCCTCTTATTTACTACAGGCAGCATTGTGTATTTGGGGATGATGGTAGGGGCCTTCTTCTGGGGCGGCATGGCTGACAAGGTGGGCAGACGGCAGTGTCTGCTGATGTGCATGTCCATGAATGGCTTCTTCGCCTTCCTGTCTTCTTTTGTGCAGGGCTATGGCTTCTTCCTGCTCTGTCGCATGATAGCTGGCTTCGGGTGAGTCTGTTTCCTGTACCACACAATCTGTGGTACATCTTCAAGATGTTAAATTTGTCAAGTCCAAAACGTAGATCTTGATAGAGACTTTAAGTTTTGTAATACAAAGAAGTATATAAATATGTGTAGACTACTGCTTAAATGTTTGGGGTGAGTAAGATTTTTGTTGAAATAAATGAATACTTTTATTCAGTAAGAATGCATTAAATTGATCAAAAGTGACAGTTAAGACATCATTTTTCAAAAGATTTCTATTTCTATCAACTTTGATCAGCAGAGACCCTAAAAGGTTGAACAATAGTGTGGGTGTAATATAAAATATATATTTATATAAAAGATAAAAGCTATTGATATAAAGAAGAGAAGTATAAAGATTTATTAAGGAAAATACTGGTTCCCCTTCAGGCTATGTCTACGTGCCTTAGACATGTGGAGGAAACCTTGGTTCTTGTCTCAGGGCCCGGTGCTGGGAGCTCCTTGTTTCTAGCATTGAAACACTTCCTTTCGGACCTAAGAGATCGCCATGTGTTGGTGCGCACCGGCAACACAGCGGTGGTCTCTTATATCAACCACCAGGGAGGTCTGCGTTCGTGCCCCCTTTATAGGTCGGTGCACCAGATCCTTGTGTGGTCCCAGGGCAACACTCCTCTCGCTGAGAGCAGTTCACATCCCTGGGCATCTTTAAATAATTAGTTAATAAATCTGAGATGTTTACAAACAACATTAAAATGGTAATCACAATAGTAATACTGGTTGCTCTTTTCCAGTTACAGTGGATTGGAATTTGGGATGGGAGCTTTTAAGTAACTAAATATTAATAGTTTTTGGCGCTTTTTTTTAAACTAATCTTAAAAATGGAAAAATATAAAGAAATGTTTAGGTATGACCTTTATAACTGAGCAGCTTGCTGAAAAGTGAAATGCCTGACATGATCTCAGGAGTCTTCATTACAAGTAATGGACATCTGGAGACAAATGTGTCTTTTATGCCTCTATGAGTCTGCGGTATTATTAGAAAGTGAGACATGCATTTATCATACGCACGTTTTGCTTCATTAAATAAACGCAATTGTATAATCACAAGTCTTAAAGTAGTTCACCTCCAAAGTGAATCTATTTAGCAGGCTTGTTACTGTACCAGCAAAGCAGTTTACTGCTTACTATTAATTGTTGTGCTGGTTCTACAGCAGCAAAATTGTAAGTGCTTGGTCACAAAGAAAGCTGCTGTATCAGTTGAGAATTTACACCTTGAGAAATCAGCAAATCTCCAAAAGGTTTTGTGCATTGCAACACATGCTCTGTGTAAATAGTGTCACTGCATTTCTTTTAAATACAACTATCAATCCACCAATTTCTACCCATCTCTCTCTGATATGCTCCCTATATCTGACAAAACAGCTAAAATTCAGTCTTATGTAATATTTTAGCTCTTCCCTCTTTCCATGACTTATGCATTTAAATACATAATTATTTTATTTACTATTTTTTTTCTACAATATTTACAGTCTTACTTCCTGTCTTAGACGCGCACTAGCAGCAGTTTAGCCAGTCACGACACACTGGGCTAGCAAACCTATTTCTGAGGGCAGGGCTTCATAAAAGCAGGAAATTACCATCTAATTCTGCTAGATATGTAAGGCATCTTAGTACAATACACAATAGCTGTAGTTCTTTTCCAGTTAAATCCTGTGATGAGGTCTTCTATATAGAATTCTGAGATCACTCAAATCTGATACATTTTTAATGGTTATTTGTTTTTCCTTTGGGCTACTTATGTAATCAACATTTTTACTGCACGCAAACTCACTTGCTTATAGCATCATCACGGAAAGTCTCCTTCATTTCACCCAGAAAACAACAAAGAAAGTCCTCAGGTGAAAACATCAGTCAACTGAAAGTTTAATGGTGTTCTTGTTCTGAGAAGCAGCCGCCATATAAACCAGTATATATAAATCAGCCGCCAAACAAGAATGAAGACAAAAACAAACTCTCCTGAATATGACTGCATCAGTCTGTGTCTTTCTCTGCCTGAGGTGTGTGTTCACACTGTTTCACTTTGTTTTTTACCCCTCTCCTCTTATTTACTACAGGCAGCATTGTGTATTTGGGGATGATGGTAGGGGCCTTCTTCTGGGGCGGCATGGCTGACAAGGTGGGCAGACGGCAGTGTCTGCTGATGTGCATGTCCATGAATGGCTTCTTCGCCTTCCTGTCTTCTTTTGTGCAGGGCTATGGCTTCTTCCTGCTCTGTCGCATGATAGCTGGCTTCGGGTGAGTCTGTTTCCTGTACCACACAATCTGTGGTACATCTTCAAGATGTTAAATTAGTCAAGTCCAAAACGTAGATCTTGACAGAGACTTTAAGTTTTGTAATACAAAGAAGTATATAAATATGTGTAGACTACTGCTTAAATGTTTGGGGTGAGTAAGATTTTTGTTGAAATAAATGAATACTTTTATTCAGTAAGAATGCATTAAATTGATCAAAAGTGACAGTTAAGACATCATTTTTCAAAAGATTTCTATTTCTATCAACTTTGATCAGCAGAGACCCTAAAAGGTTGAACAATAGTGTGGGTGTAATATAAAATATATATTTATATAAAAGATAAAAGCTATTGATATAAAGAAGAGAAGTATAAAGATTTATTAAGGAAAATACTGGTTCCCCTTCAGGCTATGTCTACGTGCCTTAGACATGTGGAGGAAACCTTGGTTCTTGTCTCAGGGCCCGGTGCTGGGAGCTCCTTGTTTCTAGCATTGAAACACTTCCTTTCGGACCTAAGAGATCGCCATGTGTTGGTGCGCACCGGCAACACAGCGGTGGTCTCTTATATCAACCACCAGGGAGGTCTGCGTTCGTGCCCCCTTTATAGGTCGGTGCACCAGATCCTTGTGTGGTCCCAGGGCAACACTCCTCTCGCTGAGAGCAGTTCACATCCCTGGGCATCTCAATATGGGAGCAGACATCCTGTCAAGGCAGGGGCCGAGGCCCGGGGAATGGAGACTTCACCCTGAGGTGGTGAAGCAGATATGGAGAGTTTTTGTCCAGGTTTAGGGGGACCTGTTTGCAACTTGAGAGACATCGCACTGTCCCCTCTGGTTCTCTCTGACTCATGCCATGGTACAGACGTGGCCGAGGCTTCATCTGTATGCCTTTCCCCCGATCGTTCTGCTCCTGGGAGTTCTGGAGAGAGTGCGCCGGGACGGGGTCCGTCTACTACTAGTGGCCCTGTTCTGGCCGGGCCGAGTATGGTTCTCGGACCTTATTTCCCTCCTCGACGGCTCTCCATGGGAGATTCCTGTCAGGAGGGATCTCCTCTCACAGGCAGAGGGTACGATCTTTCACCCCAGCCCGGAGCTGTGGAAGCTGTGGGTGTGGCCTCTGATGGGGACATTCTCCAATCCAGAGATCCCTCCACGAGGAAACTGTATGACTTGAAGTGGAAGCTTTTCACTTTTTGTTGCGGAGACCGCCAGCTCGACCCAGTTGACTGCCCAATTGGTACAGTGCTGGAGTTCCTACAGGCCCGTTTCTCTGCAGGGTTGACCCACTCCACCGTGAAGGTCTACGTGGCGGCCATTGCGCCCTACCACGCCCCTCTCAGTGGCCAGTCAGTGGGCAGACACCCCCTGGTTACACGTTTCATCTGTGGTGCGCTGAGGCTGAGGCTGAGGCATCCGGCCAGAGAAGCTTATGTTAAGCGGTGGATCAGGATGCTATTCCATAGCCTTGAGTCCTCTGATCTCCCCTCGCATCTGGGGGTCAAGGCTCCCTCAACTAGAAGTGTGGTGGCCTCCAAGGCCTTTCTGGCAGGTGTGTCTATGCAAGACATCTGCAATGCTGTGTGCATGTAACCATGGTTCCCCAAGGAAATGAGACACTGCGTCTCAGTGCCATACTTCCGGCATCCCTGTGAACTTTATAGGTCGGTGCACCAGATCCTTGTGTGGTCCCAGGGCAACACTCCTCTCGCTGAGAGCAGTTCACATCCCTGGGCATCTCAATATGGGAGCAGACATCCTGTCAAGGCAGGGGCCGAGGCCCGGGGAATGGAGACTTCACCCTGAGGGGGGGAAGCAGATATAATCTCTGACTGTAATATTAATGCTTGCTTTAGCAAACACAACTAATAAATATAGCTGCAAGCAGCGATTCAAGCACTTAAGGCATTTAAGCACATAAGGAAAAATACATTACATATTATTTAGCAAGCCTGTAACCACCTAAATCAATTATTAAAAAAGCATTTTTGGCAAATCCAGGTGATTTACCATAGAAATATGACGTTTTTATAAAGTTTATGACTGTTATAGCGCCAGATGTGGTCCGATCTTCCTGAAATTTTGCATGCTTGTTTAGAATCACCTGTCGCATGTGGTTTTGTGAAGTTTTGAGTTTTTGTTTAGGTTTTATAGGCTTTTTGATATATTTGGACAGGCCCCTTTTCTAAAGGACCCCGTTAAAAAAGCTTCCCAAAGGGTAAATTTGAACATGTTTATGGTAATTATTGACCTAGAGAGTCCAGAGAATTGCACTGCGGTAGTTTTTTCCAGATTGAGCGAGAAACCTAGGACTAGTTCGCAAGAGTATGTTTTTCACATCTTCTCAATCATTTAAAAAACGGTTTGATTGCCAGCAGTGGTTCTAGAGGCAAAGTTGATCGGAACGAGGAGGTCTATCATACGATATGAATATCGCGTGTATGTGCAGAAAACCGCGCAATGTACAATCATTTACGCCCCAGTGGCTGATTTCTTTCAAATTTCTCACAGACCTTTGAGTCAAACAGGGCCACCGAGTTTCGTTCCGATCGGCCTCCGTTAACCTTGTCTAATAGGTGATCAAACTTCGTCGGCCAATGGCAGCCATGTTTTTTTTGAGATATGCAAATGTCCCCATAGACACTTGTGGCACTTTGGACCAAGACCGTGCACAGCGATTTTCATGTTGATAGGACAAATGGTTGCCTATTTATAGCATTTTTATGTTTTTCCCCTCTTATAGCGCCACCAAGTGGCCAATCTCCATGATTTTTTCCCTGTGACCTCAGCTAGAGCCCTTATATAAGTGTTCAAAGTTTGATATATCATTCCGTTCAGGAGTTATAGGCATTTTACTAAAAGTGGCCGTGCCCCCTTCAAACGTTTTTGAACGTGCGACGGTGAGTTGAAAGTTAAACTTTTTTTTGATAATTATTGATTTTCACTCTCCAGAGAATCTTTCTGCACTGGTTTGGTTCCGATCGGGCGAAAAACCTAGGACTAGTTCGCAAAAGTAGGTTTTTCAAAATATGCGAAATACCCGAAAATTTTGCCAGGCTCTCGATCAAAGCGTGTTTTTTGTCCGGCATGAGCCAAGGATTCCAACGACATAAGACACTTGAGCCTGCGATTGACGGTTTAGGAGTTATAAACGATTTCGTACTTTCAACTGCTGTAGCACCCCCGTCAGGCCGATTGGGGCGAGCCTTGGTCACGTTGTAGGCGGTGTGAGTACTACCATCCCTCCCAGTTTCAAGTCTCTACAACTTACGATTTGGTCTGCACAATCAGTTTTACATGGAAATCGCTCATCCGTGACCATTCTAACAATTACAATACGGTTTCAGCGCTACGCGCTTGAACCCCTAATAATTAATTAAATATAAATGGAAATGAGATTGAGCTGCATACTGTGCACTGTATGTACTATATGGGTAATTCATCCTGGCAATTTTAAAAGCTCTGTTGCCATTGATCACTTGGTTTGTACATCCACATACAAACTAAATGCAGTCCTTCCTACCAGTGGCGGCTCGTGGGTTTTAAAATAGAGGAGGCACACTAATTGTATTGGACTTGGATCCCTGCCGATTATTATTATTATTATTTGCTTAACCACTTTAAAATGGCTTTTTGGTTGCTTTTAGTCAGAAAACGTCAAGAAAACGACACACATACAGCAAGATAACATAATTCCACTTACCTGGCCTATCACTTGAAGCAAACATCCATCCCTTCTTAAAAGTCTGTGTTAAAAGAGAGCTGCCTGTTGTGCCATTTAATTAAGCCGACTGCTGTAGCCTATATCCAGCTTAGCCGTGTTTTCCCTTTTTTAAATTTGTATATATACTGTTTGAATGACAGCTTGTTAAATCTGTTGGCAATCAAATATTCAATATCGTTATACTCATAAGTAGGCTACTTGGTACATTATCAGCGCAGCGACAGACGTTCAAACTAATATCACGTAATTTACGTCTCTATGATGATTGGTAGATATCAGAAGGGAGGCTAGCCTCCCCTACTAGGTTTCTTTTCTCAACACTCCTCAGCGCTGTAAGTGAACACTCAATGCTGATTGGCTAATTTTATTTTTACCAACGGAGGCACGAGAGCTCAGCTCTCCCCTGGCCTCCCCCTACCCTTCTCTATCATTAACGGTTGTAATTACATCAGCAGATTCGGCAGCTTTCACGTTATGGTACTACAACTGTGAAATTACAAACAAAAAATACACATTCTGAGACATGAACTAAAATTAATTGCGAATTTTATTAACATTAAATCGTCCTCCTCCCATTTTCACCTCAAAATTATGGGGAAGCTGTGCCTCCCCTGCCTCCCCCGACGAGCCGCCACTGCTTCCTACTATAAAATTCTGAGAAGCTCTATTCCAAAATATAGTGAACTCCCTACTGTCCACTGTCTACTGCAGTAGCATGAAATAGCAAGAGTATTATGCGTGTATGCAATTATGAATTAAATTAACTTGCAGTGCATTCTGGGATTCTCTTCTTCATCAAGAAAATGAGGTGGCAAATTTAGGTTTCTTTTGGTGCCTATGATGCTTTAAATTACTGCATCTGAATGCAGCTTGCTAGGTTTTGGAACACAATAAAAAAATTTATGTCCTTACAATTGGAAATGTTTCAAGTCATTGCAACATTTACTTTTACACAGTTTGCGTGTGTGTGAGTGTGTCGTTTTATTAGCATTAAAGCTGACTGTGAGTAGAGCCACAGGCAAGCCACTGTACAAAACGGTAGGCCTGCTATAGCTGCTGACTCAGTCACCCGTTTCCTCAGTCAATTATGCACATAATCTATGTAATGAGATTTCCAATGACATGGGTGAAACATTAACCCTCTGGGCTTGCCTGCTGTTGCAATCACAGCTTCATAACTCTCACTTATACTGCAGTGTAGTGTTACCTTCATTATTTACCACAGGTCCTCACAGAGATGTGCTAATGAACACACACACACACACACACACACACACACACACACTGAATTCAGTATTTCATCATGCCGTATTCCTCTTTTTCAAAACTCTTTGATTTTTTTATGTACTATGTATTATATGACTTTTTCTTCATTTTAGGACATGTTATTTTTATATGTGACCCATTATGATTATTTAATTCAAGAAGTAGAAGAGTTTGTTTCTTTATCAGAACAGATTTGGAGAAATTTACCTTTACATCACTTGCTCACCAATGGATACTCTGCAGTGAATGGGTACCGTCAGAATGAGTTAAAACACCTGATAAAAGCATCACGTTAATTCACAATTAATCAGCACAACTTCAGTCCATCAGTTAATGTCTTGTTAAGGGTAATTAATGCACTGGAGTTGTGTGGATTACTTATGGATTATGCTATTTTGACAATTTGACTATTTTGACGGCACCCATTCACTGCAGAGGATCCATTGGTGAGCAAGTGATGTAATTGTAAATTTCTTCAAATCTGTTCCAATGAAGAAACAAACTCATCTACATTTTAAGCATTTTTTTTATTTTTGGGTGTACTATTCCTTTAATGGTCACTTTACATTACCATAAGTGAAAGACACTTGTGCCTTTCAAAAGGACATTTCCACTTTAATGATATTGTTAAGACCCTACACTGTTTTACAGCTCAGTGCATAAGACATTACTGGTAAAGAAGAAGATGCATATGGAGGAGAAGTAGAAAAGGAGCCACTTAAAATGAAATATAATGAGAAAAACACATTTTCAGCCTGGGATACTTTTATTGCGCTCTCTGAGTTCATGACAGTCTTAAAGCTGCTTTACGTGATTTCAGAAACCTGCCTGACACCACTTAAAATGAGAAATGCAGAATAGTTTTGGATGGTGTGTTGATGAGTCCTTATATATATATATATATATATGCACTTAAGAATATTATAACAGAACTGGGCAATCCTGTAGCTCAGTGTGTTCTCTGTTTCAGCTTTATTTCAATGAATGAAAAAATATTTTTAATTGTTTGTTTTTGTTAACAGTGTTTTAGATTTAGATTTTTTTATTTAGTTATTCCATACTATGTTGCTAACTCAAATCAGGACTGCATTATAAAAGGAAGCCCAACCTATTGCACATATTAATCCTGATGTTTTTCAGTTCCATCAACTGGAAAAGACACGCCACACTCATCTCTTATGTAATCAATCAATCAGCATTGGACAAAAGAAATGGACGTGTTCACTCAGACAATAATCACTGTGACATGCCAACAGTTACTGATAAATGTTTCTAGTTCAAATCCTACAGTCTTATGGCTTGAAGTGCTACCAGGCAGCCAAGCTCTTTGTCTGTGCTGGATCAATAACATGAAAAATTGTCTGATGTTTTCCTCAGGCTGGAGTTTCAGTATGGGCTCAGCTTATCAGTTCCACAGCTGGAGGGTGTTTGTGGTGGTGTGCGCCCTCCCCTGCGTCTGTGCCGTGGTGGCCTTAACGTTCATGCCAGAGAGCCCAAGGTTCTACTTGGAGGTAAGGAGTGTGTGAAATTAGGGGGAGAGATACAAAGAAAGTGTATAATTCATTATAGCTTTGGTTGAGTTTGAAATAACAGTAATTTACAAATAGAAAATGGGCAAAATCCATTTCAGATGCTTGTGGCTGCTTTCTTGTTAACTGCATGTTTCTAAAAACATCAGTTTATGACTTGAACATCTGAAGAAACAGCCTGACTTAAGGGAACACGACTCTCTTTGAAGCTAATGACGCGTGCTTGTCGTGACTCCCTACGCCCCTCTTTTAGGCCTGCCGTGGCAATAGAGGTGGGCGGCTGTCATCTAGCACTGCGGTTTCCACTTAATCCAGTTAATCTCTTAGAGATTTTTCTGCTCTATCCTTTCAGGTGGGGAAGCACGACGAGGCCTGGATGATCCTCAAGCAGATTCATGACACAAACATGCGAGCGCGTGGACAGCCCGAGAAAGTCTTCACCGTGAGTCGATTCCCTCACTGCGCTAACTTTAAGCTGCTTAGAGCACCAACCATGCATTAAAGTTGCTTAAATTCATACGATTGTCTCATCCTGCCCTGTATGTGGGCTTCACAGATGTTTCTGGTGTCATTTATTGAGCTGCTTGGTGAGGGTGATGAAGATCAAGCTGTCATCCAAATTGGACACTCTTATACCTCCCTAAGATATTCTCTCTCTTTTAAATACTGAATATACTGAAGTCCAACTTAAAAAATACACACATTTCATTGCATTACATAACAAAATATTCTGTAGAATAGCCCATATAGACTGCAGGCAAAAGTGGACCAAATCCGATTTGAGATCTTTTTCTTCAAACTTTTCACCAATTTACACTTGAATCTGACATGTAGAGAAAAAGAAAGATCTGAGTTATAAATCAGGATTGAGAACTATGGTTTACAGTGTGAACATAACTCTAGTAACTGGTGTCTCTTCTTGTAGGTGAACAGAATTAAGATCCCAAAGCAGATTGATGAGTTTGTCGAGATGCAGACCGAATCTGGCAACTTTTTCTCAAAAGTGATCTTCAGGATAAAGACTGAGCTTCATGGGGTGAGATTCATGATGTGTAACCTTTCAGAAATAATATAATCTATGTAATCATTAGCAAAAATTACTGAATACATTCAAATAAAAATGATTAAAACGCCCTTTTCTGTCCTTCCAGATTTGGTTAAACTTCTTGAAGTGTTTTAATTATCCAGTGAAAGACAGTACAGTCAAACTTGCTATTGTGTGGCTCACACTGTCATTTGGGTAAGATCTCTATCTGTTTGTCTGTCGTGCTGTCGTTCGGTCTGTCATTCTGTCTGTCTCTCTGTCTATCTGTCTTCTGTCGTTCTGTCTGTCTGTCTGTCTGTCTGTCGTTCTGTCTGTCTGTCTCTTCTGTCGTTCTATCTGTCTGTCTGTCTGTCTGTCATTCTGTCTGTCTTCTGTTGTTCTGTCTGTCTGTAGTTCTGTCTGTCTGTCTGTCGTTCTGTCTGTCATTCTGTCTGCCTTCTGTCGTTCTGTCTGTTGTTCTGTCTGTCTTTCTGTCTGTCACTCTGTCTGTCGTTTTGTTGCTCTGTCTGTCGTTCTATCTATTGTTCTTTCTTTCTTTCTTTCTTTCTTTCATATCATTAAAGAACTCAATACTTCTGCAGGTATTATGGTTTATCCGTGTGGTTCCCTGACGTCATCAAACATCTTCAGGCCGATGAATACGCCTCCAAAGTACAAAGGCATAACAATGAGCGCATTGAAGACTTCACCTTCAATTTCACCCTTGAGAACCAGATACACACTAATAGCTTATTTATCAATGACAGGTGACTTATTCAAACTGTAACAGTAATCTTCTTCTTATTGTACTAATTCTTATTCTGTGTGTGCATATTATCACATAAATAATTTTCTTTATCCGTTCCTCAGGTTCATAGGTATGAAATTCAAGTCTGTCACTTTCATCAATTCCACTTTTCAGAGCTGCTTTTTTGAGGATGTGACATCAGTTGGATCTTTCTTTCGAAACTGCACATTTATTGAGGCTGTCTTCTATAACACTGGTAAAACAGTCATTTATTTCTGAACACAAAACAGATCACTTTTTCACCATTTTACCACTTTGCTGCATGCCTGCGAATACTTAACTATCACTTTCTACTGTGGTTTAAATCTCGTTAATTTATTCATTCGACAGATATTGACGACTCCAAACTTATAAACACAGATGTCGTAAACAGCACATTTTACCACAACAAAACAGGCTGTCAAATGACATTTGAGGATGATTATAGTGCATACTGGGTCTACTTCGTCAATTTCTTGGGAACACTGGCTGTTCTGCCCGGTAACATCGTATCTGCACTTCTCGTGGACAAAATTGGCCGCTTGTCAATGTTAGGTGAGACAGATATTTCATTTTGTTGCAGGTTGTACCACTTTGCAGATATATTTGAGATTCATACTTTTTGTTATGTGTGAAAGAATAGTTTTGCTGTAAATATTCTGTGTTTTGTCAGGGTTTTCCATGATTCTGTCTGGTATCAGCTGCTTCTTCCTGTGGTTTGGCACCAGTGAGTCGATGATGATTGGGATGCTGTGCTTGTACAATGGGCTGAGTATTTCCGCCTGGAACTCCCTGGATGTTGTGACAGTAGAGCTGTACCCTACGGACAGAAGGTGGGTTTGTACTCATACATAATAAAATATGCTAACAGACATGCAACAAAGCTGTTTAATGATTCCAAAGCCCATTAAATATGAATGTAACGCCAACTTTTTACTTTTTTCTCTTCCATCCTCTCTCCCTCCACTTCTCTATTTCAGAGGAACTGGATTTGGCTTCTGTAATGCCTTGTGCAAGCTAGCCGCAGTGATGGGAAATCTGATTTTTGGATCTTTAGTGGGCATCACCAAAGCCATCCCCATTCTTCTGGCCTCCTCAGTGCTCGTAGGCGGAGGTCTGGTGGGATTGCGACTACCTGACACCAGGTCAAATGTCCTCATGTAACCCTTGTCGGAGGTCTGGAGAAACTTAAAAGGCTTGACTTAACCCTCATTCCTCATTGTTGTACACTGTGTACTTGTATTGTGTTCATAACAAGATACTTCTCAATTAGGCACCATCATATTTTGACAATCTTTAGACTTTCGTTGCAATAATAAAACTTCTGCACCTTTATACTGTACAGTGCATTTAACCAAGACCCTCATGTTTCCTTGTGACTTTGGCCCAGGAATGAATGTGAGCGTAAATATTAATGTCCCCTTATTAAGACTTGAGCAAAACAACCTATTAATGAGCAGTCCAAACCTGCTGCAAGTATGCAGAGAGGATGATCAGATACGCCGAAAGCTCAGCACAGCTGCATCACACCTGGCTGACTGAATACTGAGAATTACTAAAGAGATGAGAGACTGAGACCGGTCTACTGGTAAACAACTCTTTATTCAGTTATTAGTTTCCGGATTTGACTACACATAGTGAAAACATCATTCAGATATGGTATCATACATTTCTAATGAAAGAGAATATGGTTTTGTTATTGAATCACTTTGTTGATTCACTGAGTATTGAGTAAGTTGATGACGAGGTTAAATTTTTACAGTATTATTACTGTATTTTTTTTAAACAAGCAATCCTTTTGCATATGTACTCCAACCTCTGATGAAAAAGGCCACAACTGTGCACTCATGCTCAAAGTACATGTATAAAGTTCCTCCGGCCATATTTATAAAAAACTAAAAATCCCATTTTGTGCTCTGCAGATGTTTTGTTTATATGCAGTGGAGTATGTTTTGTTCATAAGCTTTTTATTGCAAGCCTATTTGATTTCATATACAACAGGCGTGTGTTATCTGACTTGTTCTGCCAATTTGTGATTTGTCTAACAGCGAATGGCCTTTTGAAACTGTGCCTCTCCTACATAAGATCATCATCACGTATGAACTTGAGGTGGCTGCTGTATTTGATATCATAGAGTGTGCATCTGCCAGGGTCACTCATGCAAACCATTTTACAATCTGACAGAATGGACTGATGAGAATCAGGCTGGCGATGTCCCGGAAAGCCTCTTTTATGTACAGTGTCAAAGACTCATCTTGTTGACATGACAGGTTTGTTGGTGCAGAGGGAATTTAGAGGGCCCGCCTCAACATATGGGGTCTGCAATCTGTGGAGAGGGGAAGAGAGATGTGTTTGATAACCACATGACACGCGATTCATTTACAAGTTTCATTTCCAGGCCAAGTGAAGAAAATTCTGTTTTGGTTTCTTCTCCAAAATGACTTAGATATTTCAATATAGATTTACATACACTACCATTTAAAAGTTTGGGGTTAAAATTTAAATTTAAGAAATTACAGGTAGTAATTTAAACATAAACACGACAGTAAAGACATAATGTTATAAAAGTTTTCTGTCTCAAATATATGCTGTCATTCTGAATTTACTGTTCATCAAAGGATCCTGGAAAAAAAGCGGTACTATTTTCAACATTGATATAAATAAGAAATATTTCTTGAGCACCAAATCGCCATATTAGAATGATTTTTGATAGATCATATCACACTGGAAATTCTTCTTTGGAAACACATGTTACATTTTATGGTTTAGCTTTTACAATCAGTGCCAAATACAGTTCTCTGAACAACATAAATCAACAGTGTTACTATTATCTAGCTTTTGCTGTTTTGAGAATAAGAAATTCCAGTTAAAAAGATTAGAACCTTATATAGGACCATTGATGTTTTTCATTTGATTTGGCTTCCAACTAACCAAAGAGGCTTAAGGCTGTCTCACTCTCAGCAAAGCTATGCAGTTTCTTCAAGGCGTTATTTATAAATGAGATTATAAATGATCAGTGCTGTACAGTACTTGATCTAAGCCTGTCTTCATCTGAAAACCTCTTTTTTTAATTTATGCATATAGTTTAGTGTTAACATGCAGTCTGAAATGATGTGTGTGTGCTTGTGAACAGTACAAACTGTGTATATATCTGTGTATGGGTAAATGGTAAATGTATGCTTATCCATGTATATTTTGTACATTTACAGTAATCGACTCGCGTGCTGAATGCTGTGTGTAAACATTTTTCTGCAGTGGATGAATCTGTAGTGTATGTACACCGCTGAAAGTGTTTACTGTTCATCTGTCATTGCAGCACCGTTCCTAAGAGCCAGCCATCCTGAGACATCACTGAACAAAACTGCATGTATTAAACTTTTAGGGTCTGTGCTCAGCTCTCCAGAGAATGTCGCACTGTTGTGTGTTTTATGGCAGAAAAATACCGAAGAATAAAGCTATCATATTTTGTGAAGGTGATAAAGATGTGTTGAAACGTGTCTGTACCTAATATGAAACAAAGCTGATTAGAAGAAAAATGCACAGACTGGACTTACTCATTTGTGCAATACATAGGTTAAATTGACTGAAAATGTGGTGTGTCAATATCAAACACATTTTAAGTATTTATAAAGGCTTGCCAGATTTTAACTTGACATAACAGACCTCTAAAACAAGTTTTATTTGATGAGGCTGATATTCAGAGGTGGAGTAAATGCCCGTGTTTATGTTATGCCCATATTTCAAATAAAAAATGTTAATTAAAATCAAGTCAACATAAACACACTTTCAGCACAACAGACACTCTTTGCTTCCCACACAGCTCTTCCACAGAGATACAAATATTTGAACAGGTAAAACATGAAGATTATAAATTATATAAAAAATGTATAAAACAAATAGCAAATATACGAACAGGTGTATTTTTAATGTATTAAAATATATTTACAAAATTACCTATATAGGCTACATACTTATTAGCTTACTTAGGTTATATAGGCCTGTTCATAGCTTTTCAAATGTATGAACCTGAAGGCCTAGATGCTGCAGTAGCTACGCTAAATATAACTCATAAAAGGAATTGGAAATACATGGCTAGAGGTTGCCTCGTTTGAGATAAACACTAAAACAGAGATGACAATTACATTTAATATAAAAAAAAATGACTTCAATGGCTAAATTTCGGCCATAACTAATTTTCGTGTATTTTTTTCTCTACACAGTGTTGATATGAAATGACAGACTTGGATGACAGCTTAAGATGAATGCAACGTATAGCCTATATTAAGTAATAGGCTACAACTACCTATCTTAAAAACCAAAATATTTATGAGCTTATGAGTTGAAGAGGCTCATCTGCCCAGAACAACATCTTATTTTAACACGGAGTGATTTAACACAGAGGACACCTGATATCACACATAAAGATCACTGAGAAATGTAACACTACTTGCATAGACGATTTGTCAACAATGAGGGCAAATTTCCCCAACTTTAACCCCATTTTATGATCTGCATTGGTTTTTAAGTGTAGTACAACACTGACATCTGCAGGAGGTGTGTTACCTGCACCTAATTCATGACACTTTTAGTTTTACTCTAAAATGAGAAACCATTCTCTCACATTTGACCTTTTCTTGGAAACGTGTATTTAGTAAAATATGGGATCTATGAAATATGATACCAGTCAAATACATTGTATTGGGCGAGATCTTATGGATAAGTATGGGAAATGGTGAAATGGTAAATTCATGAATTTCTATCTTGTTATAATAAATGTTATCTTGATTTAAATACATTTTGATTACTTGCTTTGTTTTCTAACCACTAGACTTATTAATTGATTGTTCCTTTTATTGATTGTGCATTCATTTACATTTTAATTTAGTATTTCAGAAGTCACACACTTTTGAAGACTTAAAGGGATAGTTCACCCAAAAATGAAAATTCTGTTATCATTTACTCACCCTCATGTTGTTCCAAACCTGTATGAGTTGCTTTCTTATGTCGAACATAAAAGAAGATATTTTGAAGATTGCTGGTAATGAAACAGTTGGTGGTTGCCGTTGACTTCCATAGTATTTGTTTTCCTACTATGGAAGTCAATGGCAACCACCAACTGTTTGATTATCAGCAATCTTCAAAATATCTTCTTTTATGTTCGACATAAGAAAGCAACTCATACAGGTTTGGAACAACATGAGGGTGAGTAAATGATGACAGAATTTTCATTTTTGGGTGAACTATCTCTTTAAGTCACACTGTGAAATGTCTGCATGCCATTGCATTAGTTACACCCGCACAAAAATACTTGCGCTTTTCATCAGAACTAGCTTTTCTTTTCTTTTTTTGTTTTTGTAAGTAGGCTACTTTTAATCAGGTCCCAATGTGATTTTCATATGTCAGTTCACTTGAAGTTCACACAGGTGTTAGAATAACAACAGGTGTTTATATTGTTTAATAATTCAAAACCTAAAATACATTTTATTTAGGCTATTTATTTATAATTTGTGGTTTAATTTGTGTTGTTTTATAGGCTAATACAACGTCATTCAAAATTTAACACACTTAAAAAATAAAACGTTAAAGTCTTAAAAACGTATAAATTAATATTTGTTTTTCCTCAAGTCAAGATTATTATCTAATAACAGAATCGCCCTGACTACATTAGTTTACACAACAAAGCAAAAGCATGTTTTAAGGGTGAGATCAGGGGCAAGTTCAAGCTCAAACCGGTGTGCACCGTTTTGCTACGGTTTCCGGTTTGAACGACATGTTTCCTGGAAACGGTGTGCAACGGGTTGGAGATGTGTTTTCTCTTGTTTGGTGGGTGTGTCAAACATGTCAGCCCAATCAACAGCAACATGTATATAAACCACGCGGTATTAAAGAGACAGCTGGCACACTGTAATTAACATCTAAATAAATTCACAAGAGCAAGTATATTGTTTGCACATGTTTATTTACATTAAAGGCAAAATAACTGAAATAATAAGGGCACAAGTATAGATCTGGAACTTCTTTAAGTCTGTCTAAATATCATTTAGTAATTGCAATGTCTTCTGGTCCATATCCTTTCTTAGGAAGGTGTGCTAAATACTGATTAATGTAACATAAATATACTATATGTATATATTTTGCTATTGCATTATGGAGTGACACTTTCATAAACTTTTCTATACTCCTCTGATTATATAATGGTAAATATTACAATATCATAGCACAACAACAGTGATCAGCAATAATGATAAGCCTAATACTCACAATAAAAATAATAAGGTCATATATTTCATAAACTTTTCTATACCCCTCTGATTATATAATGGTAAACATTACAATATCATAGCACAACAACAGTGATCAGCAATAATGATAAGCCTAATACTCACAATAAAAATAATATGGTCATATAGATCATAACACAGTCTTGGAGGTAAGAAGTGGATTATCCTTCACCTGAAATGTTTGTCTTTCATCCTGAAATGCGAGGCAAATGTTGGATCACAATAATTAGGAACCACAGTTTCCACAAATCCCTTCACTCGATTGGGATGTTCTCTTTTATTCTGGAGGACAAGGGCAGTGACTGTAACATCGAGTGTATTTTGCAGTATTAAACACGTATTTATACCGATTTCATCAGGCTCCGAAAATTCTTCAAAAAGAACACAAAGAATGGTCAGCTGCCATAGTTGCAACTCTTGCGTCATCAGAACAGGGTGTTCAACGCACCACCGTTTCCGTTTAAAAAAACGTTTTGCACCGTTTTTGTCGTGGGGCTGAACGCAGCCCAGGTAAAAATAGGAGAAGCTACTCACTGCAGAGTAAATGGGTGGAGCTTACGTCTCGCTCCTCCTTGCTAGACGTCCAGCGAGGAGGAGCAAATGTAATTTGTGCCTAATGATTGGAGCTAGAATATCCAACCACACCCTAACCATATCCACAACTCTCCCTACACCCCATCAGATGTCCAGAGAGGTGGGGCTGGAAGTCATTTGACTCTGCAGTGAGTACCACTTGAAAAATAGGCCTACTCTAATGCTTTGTCCAAATACCCACACTTGCGGTCTTGGCCACTTGAGAGCGTGTGCGTGCTACAGGAAGTAAGTGTGCAAGTCTGTCCCATGTCTTCAAAATGCCAAAGTGCAGTGCCCTTAATGGATACTAAATCCACACTATCTCGAATACCGCTCCAGAGCGCTATTCAAGGCTAAGTGTATCCCATCATGGGCATAGAGGAGAAACAATAATGTACAGTATGTGGAAAATAATGTTTTTTTTACTTTAAACCGCATAAACACATTTCATTACACCAAATACACAAAATAATGTTCTTTTTAGCAGCATCATATGACCCCTTTAATATAATAATTAGATATTACAAATAATTTGGTAGAAAAGCAGTGTTTTTACTTTTATTGGTGCAAAGATGAGTTGTGGTGATATTTATTTTGTACAACATTTGCAACTGCTTTTTATCATTTAATTAGAAGCACCACAAATTAAAATTATGTCATGTTATAGGGACTACTGAACAGACATTTAGAAGTTGATATTAAAATGCAAAGTATTTCAAATTAAAATTAAAATAAAGCTGTGTAAACACTTGCATTTTTACAACACTATAAGTGTGTCCCATCAGGTAATGAAAAGTTCGACACACACTTGTGGTCTTCACACCCACTTGAAGACTTCGGCCAAATACAGGAAATACGTCATTTAAGTAATCAAGTGGTAAAGTGCAAAGACTGCAAGTGTGGGTATTTGGACAAAGCCACACTTATGGTCTACATCCTCACTTGAACACTTGGGCCAAATACAGGAAATACGTCATATAAGTGGTCAAGTGGTCAAGTGCAAAGACCACAAGTGTGTGTATTTGGACAAGGCATAACTTTATGGAAGCCCGTTAGGGCCAAAACGTGTGGTACTAACGCGTTAACAAATGTGTAATTAACATTTTGTGTAATTATATTGTAATTGTGAAATTGGTCATGACTTTCAGGGGTTGAACAGTTATAATTTAAAATACTTGAATACTAGTTGTGCTATAACTATTATATTTAGTTGTAGCCTACTTATGTCTGAAAAAAACATTAAATTAAAATTCATAAAAAAACACCAGTAGATGGTGGGTGCTAAAGCTCAATGCCAGCACAAAATGACGCGTTAACGTGTAAAGGCTGATTTATACTTCTGCGTTGGACCTACGCCATAGCCTTTACGCCGTAGGCTATGGTCAGTTTTCATTTCACTTCATTTCATAAGCTACGGCGTAGGTCCGACGCAGAAGTATAAATCAGCCTTTATTTCGTGTTAACGCGCAAACGCGTGTTAACGCGTTAGTACCACACGTTTTGGCCCTAACGGCCTTCCATATAACTGCACCATCAGTGTGTGCCGCGGGTGAGATCAGGGTGGCGTCACGCGCCAGCAGGTGGAGCCGCGGCATTCAGTGTCAGCTGAGCTTCAGCGCGACCTCACAGGAGCTATCATCAGGTTGACAGGCAAAGGAAGAGCCGCAGTAACCGAAAGCGCTTCAATGCAAATGGGAAAGCCGTTTTACTCGGAACCAAGGCTATGACAACAGGAGCAAATTTTGTTTTGCTCGCTTGAGAAAAAAGTCTGTAGTAAGTGTAAGAAAGTTCATGGTGGAGGCTCAGCAGAGTTTCAGAGGAAGCAGGATGTACCATGAAGACGGCGCAAACTCTCTCAGACCACGATATGGATGTGAGTAGAGCCACTTCACTTCATGTCAGTTATGAAACTACTCTTTAAATATGAAACTAAATGAGTGTTAATTGAATTTGAATGCACTGTAGTGCCCTGGACAGTTGGTCAGCAAGAGTAACGTTAGCTGCCACAGTAATCTGACATCTATGATCAGTGGAGTGGGTGGTTAGTTTGGTGTGCACAGACATGTACATGCATAATATTGAGGAAATGTATATATTTCCTCAATAGTATGAATATACATGTACATTTTATATATAAATATGCAATATTTAGAAGCACATTATGATGATGCTGATTTGCTTTACAAATGAGTTCAATATGAGCTCATGTATTCAGGTAGATTTTGAATAATATTTTTGACTTGAGTAAAGCCAGTTAACTTTTAGGTTATCTAAACAAGCAGTTAATATTGCTGATTTATCAGCCTATCACTAGTTTTATTTAACATTATTATAAAAACAATCAAGGTGTTATAACTGCAAGGGAGTCATTTAAGGCTATTTCAGTTCATATCAAGATTAATGACTGAACTGACTGACTTGTCCAGTAAGATATAAAGTAGAAATGTGTGAAAATTGTAAAAAAAAAAAAAAAAATCAGTCAAGAAGGTAATAGATCTGATGATTATTAGAGTTTGAGTTTCTGTCAAACCCACTTCCCATTTTTTAATCTAGAAGGTGATGTGCTAATGATTACTTCTATGAGACATTGCACAATGAGCCATTACAATGTCTTCTGGGCCTTACAGATAAGCTATGTATTATTAACTATTTTGTCTATCCAGCGCTAGATCCCTGAACTTTCTCTGCCATGTCCTTATATTATGTTGTCTTAGAAAGGTGTTTGTGTATCCTTGGCATTCGATCTCATGCTGTGGCCTGAGCAAAGAGAAGCTCCATGAGCGTTTTCTCCAGTTAAACATTACCTCTGCCCTTTGTAAAAGCACCTGACAGTCTGTACAGTCCAGATATTTGAGGAATTCTATTTAAGGAGTTTATCTGTGCAGGCTTTATTAAACACACAAATTGCACCATGCTGGTAGACATGGTGTTTAACTGTGTGTACATCTAGAATGATGAACAATGTTTAATATATTGTTTGCATAGCAGCAGACATTTGATTCTGGCATAAACTTCTAGTTGGTTGTGTATCAGAACCTGTTAGTTAAGTCTACCATATCAAATCAAGGTTGAGAGATGAACTAGCTAACTAACTTTTTGTCGGCTCATTATATGAAGTTTACTTAACTCTCTGTCAACACTGGCACAGAGATCACATTCCAGCTAAACTGCTGACAATGCCACTGGTTTCATGTTGCTGATTTAATTGATTAATTCATTTTAATGAATTAATTATAATAATTATTATATTATATTATAATTAATTAATTTTAATATATGAATTAATTTTATATAGGGTGTTTACATGAGCCTTTTTGTTATTTATTGCCTTTGTTATTCTAAAACATATTTTTTGCTTTTTGGAATTGGAACAATTTTCATGCTTCACATATTGAATTAAAATTTCCTCATAATTTTCTCACCCCCATATCATCCAAGATGTTCATGTCTTTCTTCTTCAGTCGAAAAGAAATTAAGATTTTTGAGGAAAACATTCCAGGGTTTTTCTCTATATAGTGGACTTCAGTGGGGTTCACTGGGTGGAAGGTCCAACTTGCAGCTTCAGTGCAGCATCAAAGAGTTCTACACGATCCCAGACGAGGAAGAAGGGTCTTATCTAGTGAAACGATCTGTCATTTTCCAAAAAAAAAATACAATTTATATACTTTTTAACCTCAAACGCTCGTCTTGTCGAATTCTGCGTGAACTCTGTGCATTCCGGTTCATGCCAGTTAGGGTATATCGAAAAACTCCCATCTCATTTTCTCCTCCAACTTCAAAATCGTTCTAAATCGTCCTATATCACCGTTTTACTGTTTTTTGTAAAGTTCTTTGCACGTTCACTTTGTAAACACTGGGTCGGTACTTCTGCAGCGATGTAGGACGATTTTGAAGCTGGAGGAGAAAATGAGATGGGAGTTTTTGGACCTACCCTAACTGTTTCGAATGGGACTGCACAGAGTACGCATGCGCATTGCAGAGCTACACAAGACAAGCGTTTGAGGTTAAAAAGTATATAATTTGTATTCTTTTTTTAGAAAATGACTGATCGTTTCACTAGATAAGACCCTTCCTTGAACACTTTGAAGCTGCAAGTTGGACCTTCCACCCAGTGAACCCCACTGAAGTCCACTATATAGAGAAAAACCCTGGAATGTTTTCCTCAAAAACCTTAATTTCTTTTCGACTGAAGAAGAAAGACATGAACCTCTTGGATGACATGGGGGTGAGTAAATTATGAGGAAATTTGAATTCAGAAGTGAACTAATCCTTTAACTCCAAAAGCTAGTACAACTATACCCTGTGTCTTAAGCTGTTTGCTTAAAGATACCCCAAAAAAGTTGGACCAAAGTCTGCATCACAGTGGACTCTTATTTTAAGATAGAATTAATCTTGAAAGTAAGCATACAGGAAATGACATCATATCGTGCAAGGAGGACTGAAATGCCCTACACTGCATCTCATTGTCATATGAGGAATCTGTGGCCCATATTGATATGAGAGATTGTATGGCCACAGTTTACAAACAGACGTTCCCCCCACAACTGCTATAAGTGTGGTGCGGTTGCAGACACAGTTTACATTACCGTTCTCTTATGCTCACCAAGGCTGCATTTATTTAATCAAAAATACAATAAAAACTGTAATATTGTGAAATATTATTACAATGTAAAATAACTTCTTTTTTTAATTGTAATATTTTTAAATATAATTTATTTCTGTTGTGGCAAAGCTGAATTTTCAGCAGCCATTACTCCAATCTTCGTTGTCACATGATCCTTCAAAAATCAAGAAACATTTCTTATTATCAGTGTAAAAGTCTTTACTGTCACAATTTAATGCATCCCTGTTGAATAAAAGAACCCAATCTTTTGTTACTGAAATGTGCCTCTGTTACTAATGTTGCTACATCAGATCTTAGTCGACAAGCTAAATCTACCCATTGATGTTTCCTCAAATGGCTGTTGCACTTCAGACTGCTGATGAGTCTTTCCTTGTTTATAATATTTTAAATCCAGAGCCACTTTGTGAGAACCCACTTTTGTTGCCATGTTTTTAAAATATCGAGTTTATTGTCTGTGGGACAGATTGATGTGATAAGGCTGACCTACGTAATGAAACCCCACAGAGGTTAACTGGCAAGCCTGAGCCTGTGCGTCAGGGTGAGAAATTTGCAGTGCTGTTTGTCATTACAGAATTGAATCTCATTTACTCGAACAAAGACCAGCATGGGATTGTGGGTCAGCAAGCTTAATTATTACTAGATGAGTGAGGATCGTGAAAACACTTGGTAGTTGGACACAGTCTTGTGCTCTGTCTGATTTTATCACATGTAAAAATGAGCTTCTGATTTCGTGTCAGAGCATCACACGTTCTCTTTAGGTTTCTTTTCAACTGCACTCGTTTTTGTTGTCAAGCTGCTGCCTTTTTCTTGTGAGAGTGGATGTGACCTACTTCACCAAGAGTTATAATAAGTGTCATATTTTACTGTTTTAATGATGTTTCAACTGGGCTCCACCAGGCTGTGGAGAAGATGCACTGTATATTTCAGTCAAGGGATGGGCGATTGTATAATCAAATAACTTATTAAACCAAGTGACGTGAGTGCCGCTACATCTGCTAGTAGACTGTTCTCAAAACCAATTACGAGCTCTGTGGTAAACACTACAGGTTGTGAACTTTTGTGCTGCTTTCATAGATGGTGTTTTGATGGTGAGATGTGGTTGGCAGTTGATCTATAAGCATGTCATGTTGATGTGTTACATCACAGCATGTTGATCATCTTGCACAACATCAGCTTTGCACAGCTTCACTAATTAGATTTTTTTTTCAGTGTAAATTCACAATAGAAACACATTCAAAATCCAGTCCTGGTTTTACCTAGGACAGAATATGATTGTGCTGGTTGCATCATGTGATTGGTGAGTGTTTTTACAGTAAGTGGCAACAGCAGCTCCATGCCATTAAAATAAATGATTAAATAACAAGATAAAGTAAATGTCTAAAAAAAATAATGATGCCCTTAAAACACTGAGCTTCAGTCACATTTAAAAATGTTTAAATATTTCTGCATTGAACAAAATCAAACTGATTGACATTTATAAAAAAAAATGTAGCAGAAATACACTTTAATGCAAAACACTTTACAAATATAGGGGAGAGCGGGGCACAAAGTAACACTTTTTGACTTTCTCAGTTTGTGTAAATCCACATGGGGTTCAGAGTATAATTTTTTTATCCACAGTAATTTCACACTTGTCTAGCACAAATATGTCACTTTGTTTCATGATTACAGTGTATACGGTTTTCTTTATTTACTCTCAAAAAATGGAAGTGAAATGTGACAACATGCCCCGTAGGTGGGGTACATTGTAACATCTGAGGGGCACGTTGTAACATGACCATATAACAGCTTAAAATGTTATCTGATTGAATAAAAAAAATACACAAGACAAACTAAAATATTTTGTCAATAAAATAAAATAATTATTTATTTAAAATAAAATAATGGCGTTTTTTAAGAATTAAAAATAATCTGATTTTGGAGTTTGACAATGAACACATTGCAACCATGCTTGGGACGGCCCACATAAACGAGCTAAAATGCTTTACATGTCTTGAAATAATAATTTCTTAACATTAAAGAAACTATGTGATTAAATAATGATATGAAACATCTATCATGTGTCTCTTTTTTGCAAACCATTTAGTTGCAGCTGAATACCACGAACAAAAAATCAACAGGCTACATAAAAACTGGACTTTTTAAGAGCTGTTTGTGTGCAAAATAGAACTGAATGATTCTGGATAAATTTAGTTTTTTTTCTTTTTCTTTTTCTTTTTTCTTCCCCAATAGAAGTTGTGGTTCTCTCA